TCTCAATTTAGGTTATACCAGGTACACATAATCATTTGTATCCATATTTATTATTTTCCTATTTGTCCCCCAAAGACATGGATACATAGTGGCCTTTATGTTTCGTAAGAGGCATGAAGATTTAGAAATCCTTATCATTTCCAAAGAGCTGACTCTAGAAACTGCTACTGACCTGGGTGACCGGTTTGCACTTCGAAGGGAGGTGTAGGTTGTTTTCTCATATTCAAGGCAATTTTGCATATAATTGGCTTTGGAGAAATAATGATCAAAGAGAAACAGCTCATACCCAAGCAGTGGCTACCAGTCACTGTGGAAGATATATGATAAGTAGCCCAGGGGTTTCCAGTGTACCCAAAAGGATAGATTATTTGTTTAATAGAAGCTTTGTCACACATGGCCATAATATGGTTTACATATGAAAGGCTCTATTCTTTACTTAACATTCACAAGTTGCAATGGATTAATTAGCCCATCTGTCACCACAAATGTATTCCTATATCTTTTGCAGTGATTGCTAAAAAGTGACTTTTTCTTGTTTATCCACTATAAGTACACTGGAAAATAATAACTTTTTAAAAACAAGGCACATGTTTTTCAAGTCTTTCAAAATTGATTCATGTTTATTGCAAGCCATTTAATGTATAACTTTTTAAGGGTATGTGTCTGTGTAGACCTGATTTACTTGATAGTTACAAGGGTGAGAGAAGACCTCAGAAATCTCTCACCATCAGTTTTCCTTTCAGTCCACTATCACATTTACACTTGTTAGTTCATCTGAATATTCATCTTGTAACTGCTTCAAGTTTGATGTCATTACAATTACCACTCATTTGTAACCCCAAATTTAGTTGGAGGACAGCCATATGTAATTATCCTGAATTTCTGTTGTTGGCATTTCTCTTTCTTTCTTTCTTTTTCTTTATTCTTTCTTTGTGTGTATGTGCTTTTGCCAGTTCTGATGCCCTGATTTTCAGTAATATGTTTGTCTTCCTTCTCATTTACTTCAAATCAGGTGGCTTAATCATTTTCATAATCCAGTCTTTTCTAAGACTGTTTCTTTCTTAACACCTATCAGTCACAGGAAATTTTTCAGCTGTACTCTCCTTACTCGGTGGCAGAACTGCAGTTATCAAAATGCCAGATGTTATAAAGATGAAATTACAGTATCCGTATTTCCTAGGACTGCCCTACTTTCTCATTCTGTATAATGACACCTTTGGAAAACAGTCTCTTTCTCTATAGCATCTTAAATCAAATTATCATGCTTCCTTAAACTCTTCTGCATATAAATTTCAAACTAACCCTAACCCTAATCCTAAATCCGTAACTCATGGGTATTTTTTCATCACCTGCTTCCATCAGATTTACTCCCAACCATATTTATCCAATCTTTTTGTCATGAAAATCAACTTCCCTATACTCCTCTACAAAAACACTCCCTCTTTCTACTGAGAGAAGAAAGATTGAATCTACACCCTTAACTACCTAAGTAGGACACTTTTTAATTGGAGCCTTCTCTATTGCCAGTCTTCTTTTGTAAAACAAACAGAAACTGTATGTTGAACTAAACGTAAGTTTGAGACAGAAGAAGCAGGAAGAAAATATAGAGGTAAACAGAATGCTACAGATAAAGAACGATGAAGTACCAAGCTCCTTGCTGTTGGTTTAGAAACTGCCTGAAAAAAAATTGAACTTTTGCTACTAATTTATTTGTTGACTTAATACAGAATTTTCCTGTAGGGTTCAATTTAGGTATACTTCAAATGTTATTTTTTTTTCATAGCCATAACTGAAAAAACTGAACAAAACAACTGCCAGAAAATCCTAATTAATCTGTTCTTTCCTCTGTTGTGAAAGGCATAACTTATAAAATGGTGACCTTTTGGTAGGGTAACACTATGTTGATGAACTTCAAGTGAAGTGAAAAAAAAAAGTGTTTAGTATTAACAGTGCTTACATTTTCTGAGGGATCACGTGGGGTTGTGGAACCTTTAAAGGTCACAGACTTCTTTACTTTGAGAGATATTAAATAGCTTATGAAAATAGAGGTCAGCTGCGTAGCAACTGGGAGAAAAGAGCATTCCCCAACAGAGAAGTATGATATTCGAGATTACAGTGACTGTTCTTTTTTTAAGATTATATTGAATCTCCATAGAGCAAAGACTTAAATTTGCATATAAATTCCCTCGCTGTAAATAAATGGATGTCCGGACCATAGAATCAATAGCTATTGATCTTACTGTATGAATGCTAATATTGTCTGCATATGCTAAACATTGCAATAAAACTTAATGATTCACCACCCTAAAATACTTTTCAGTAATTTTTATATTTCTGCAGAAATTATTGTATAGTCTAGATTTGTCAAAAATAATCTTCCCATGGAGGAACACAAAATAAATCATTATTTGTAGGAAACTCACTTTTTAAAAATTTATTTTTACTTTGAAGGACACAAAAACAAATAAACATCCTGAACCCCAAGACTATATTAACACGTAGACAAGACACAGCCACCTGGGGAGAAAGAGATTAATGGCATTGTCTCTCTAGTTTTTATTGACATGGTGTATGAACTAGTAGCATCTAATGTATGACTGGAAGAAAGCCTAGCCATAAAGTTTTCCCTTTACCTTGTGGTTTTCTTTAAGGTTTCTTCGAATAGAGCAGCATTTGTGTATTTTCTCTGCCACTGTTAAAAGTTGTTCTTGTAGGATCACAGTAAACATTGACATAGTTCCAATACATGTTAAATGGCTGGTAACTTTTTTTCAGAGAAAAGGATAGTGGAAAACTTCAAGAATGGGTCTTCATTAACTTGAAGGGACATGATCACGTAAAGGCTGGGGACAAAAGAGCAAGTCTTACCTACTGCAGAGATTCTCATAACTGTCTTACCTACGCTTGACCATCACTTGTGATCTGGAGGTTACAAATACGGACGACAATCAGAAACCATGAGGATGGTACTGTTCAATAGACAGGACTAGATTTTAGGTAGTGCTTTTCTGTGCTAGGCTGTTTTACCCTTTGGTGACGGTAACTCTAGGGAACCCAGCACTAGCTCAGACACCTGACATCCAACAGGAGCTCCAGGAAAATAAATGGCGTCCATAGGTGTCTCATGTTCACATATTCCATATGCTTCAGAAAAGATTCCAAGACTGTGTCAATGAAACTTCAGTGACAGTTTTCAAATTTCATCAACAAAGAAAACAATCAAAACGTAAAAACACAGATTAGGGATCTCTGACTGAAGTTTCTTACTAGTGGTTTAGGAACTGAACTAGGACATACTGTACAGTTGTGGAAACTTAATTGCTCATTTTTTGAAGGCACATTAACTCTTTCAGGGGCCGTTGAGTAAATTAGCTCCTCCGGTTCATTAAACGTGTCTCTACACAAAGTGACTATTCCCACCTGGCATTGTATCATTTACCCCAAAATGCCCCACGCTTGTGCTGATCAGGCACATACTCGATGTCTACTCAGGAGGAGAGAATGTGCTCATTTGATTGTCAGCAATTGTTCTTCAACTGCAACTCAGTGATTTCTTTTCCCTCTTTTTAGGCACCCGGGGGTATCTTAAGGGTTTGCTAGTGCATAGCAGTTACCAAGGCTTTGCCACGATGCAGGTAGTTTAGTTAGCTGTCCAGAAATGACAGAATTTCCAGGGTACTGGGCATGTTATTGTGCCACCAATTGTCTCCTCATAGTTGCAAAAGCCAACATTATTAATTCATTTAGGGTGGGAGTCATGAATCTATTTCAGGATTCTCTAGTTCTTTACTAAAGCCCAACTTTCACTAAAAGGCTCAGTTATCAGGGCTTATTTTAATGAAATAAATTCATAACTATTTGATATCCCTCTTTATTGTCCCTAAGAAAGGGTCTAAAAAAGCCTGCAGGTGGTTTGGTTGCTACATCAGATGGGAAACATTCCTGGCCCTTATACACAGGTGTGGAAGGGTCCCATAAAATGAATAGTATTTTTCCTCTTCTAAATGCCGGGTATAGAAACAAAGTTCACCTCTTTCCTCAGTGGCCTGAGCCAACTGAGAGACTCATAAATTGGTATAAATTGAAGCAGCAGAGGATCCAAAGGGACTCCCAAGAATATGCTGTTAGCAGTGCTAAAAGCAGGGCTGTTTTTGGTTGCCATATGTCAGCTGGGAACTTGTTAAAATGACAGTTCTGACTCAGAAAGTCAGAGTCAGCGCCAGGAGTTCTGCATATCTCGTCATCTCTTTAGTGATGTTGATGCCCCTGGTCCACGTACCACCCTTGGAATTGTGATGACACAGTTGCACATGGACAGTAACATAGCCTTGAATAAAAGGATGATGAATACGAAGGAAATGTGACATTGTCCTTTAAAAGTAGATTTCAGGCCAGGAAGACTTTGATGAAATATTTAAAATATCATCAAGATATTAGTTGCTCCTTTTTTAAAGGATATGATTGAGCCAGGCATGGTGATACATGCATGCCTGTCATCTCAGCATTCCAGGGGGCTGAGCAAGAACATCACAAGTTTGAGTCACAATTTAGTAACTTAGTGAGACCTTGTCTCAAAATAAAAAATAAAAATAGTACAGGCAGTACAACTCAGTGCAATGGCCCTGAGTTCAATTCTTAGAACTGGGAAAGAGAGGGAGATTTACTGAACATTTCTACCTGACTGAAGATTTCAGTGGTCATCTTGTGATGCTGACATGCCATTTGAACTTTGATTTTAAATTTGAATTACCAATAATTCTAATGGTGTTTCAGTAACCGACTCCAGATAGTTCATAAAGATACAAAATTATTTTTTCTAATCTCTTTCACTTCCTCATGTTGGCGAAGAGTTCAATAAAAATCAGTGTTAAATATTCCTTTGCAAAACTCGTATCAGAGCTGGTTGAAAGAGTCCCTCTGCAGCGCTTTGTAATCTATCGCAGTAGCCTCTCGTTCTTTCCGCTGAGATGAGTGATGTCGACCTGGTCCTGTCTCCACAGGTCAATGGGAAGGATCTCTCAAAAGCTACCCATGAAGAGGCAGTGGAAGCTTTTCGAAATGCCAAGGAGCCCATTGTGGTGCAAGTGTTAAGGCGGACGCCGCTCAGCAGAGCCTCCTATGGGACGGTCCCGGACGTGCAGCTCAGGAACGCCAGCACGCAGACAGACATCACCTTTGAGCACATCATGGCCCTGGCCAAGCTCAGGCCACCTACCCCTCCCGTGCCAGACGTCTGTCCATTTCTACTGTCAGACAGGTATTTCTTTTCATGTGTCCATCACCTTATTTGTTGTCGTTCTTCCTTTAAAGTAGCTATCGGAAAGAACAAGTCTCCCCAGCAAGCTAGCAATTAGGGCGATGGGCTCAGCTCTGTGCAGAGAAGCTCGCCAAAGAGGCTTCACCCAATTAGTTCTCTGCCCTCCCTGCAAGCCTCACTCCCTGACCCAGGTAACTGCTTCACCTCCAGAATGAGACCTGCTGAGAGGCAGTGAAAAGCTCTAGCTCTGATTAGCTGGGACTCCTATCTCCAACCCTCACAGGCCTTGTGCTACTCATGAGTGCTGGTCAGAGAAATGGATTTTCTCACCAAGGCTGCCAAGCCATTATTAAGAGTTAGGTAGATGTGACATGTTGGCACTGTGCTCTCTGTGGGTGGGTCTGTCTCTCTCACTCTCTTTCTCTCTCTTTCCCCCTCCCTCCCTTGCTTTTCTCTTTAAAAAAGAAGCTGGAAAATTAATTAAAGCACAGTTCTCCAAAGAAACCAATTACTCCATATATTGAGATATAAATAAAGGGTCCAGGCAGAGAGTAAGTAGAATGCTATAAAATAAGGAACAATTAAAGCAATATTTTATCCTGTTTTTATGTAATGGGAAGCATTGTATTTTACTTTAGATAATCCTATTGGTACAGTTTTAGAAATATTTTTTGCCTGGTATACTTTGTTCTGTGAGATTTTAAGTATTCAGAGTTTGATTTCTCAGGACAGTAGTGTCCTCTGACCTCATTTTTATTGTCTTCTCTAAGCCATTCTTGATTTTGGAAAACAGATCTGATCATACCACTTCCCTGCCTTTTGGTGGCCTCCATTAGTCTCTTTTGCTGAGCCACAAGTGTGCAAGAGTGTCACCCAGGAACTTTGAGAAGGCCTGGAAATGTCTGGATCCCACCTTGGGCCAGTTAATAAGAATTTTTACCAGGGGGTCTAGGCATCTCCTTAGGCAATTCTAATGTGCAGCCAGGTTTGAAAACCAGTTCTTAAGACTTCAACTTTCAGGAAGATAGTGGCACTGGTTGCTTACCTGTCACTTGGATTATTCATCCCTTACATATTAGAAACCCTTAGTGTCAAGCCACGGAGCTAGGTGCTGGGCATAAAACTGTAAGGATAGTCTCTGCCTCCCAGGGTTTAAGGGTAGGGGGAGGTGTTAAGCATCAGCAAGCAACGGATACATAGTCTTCATTAGTACACCAGGCACTTGGTACCTGCCAGGTAAATACTTGGTTAAATGATCCTTTGTTGGGTAACTTACCTTGTTTTAGGTAACAGTCCATGTGTTTTACAGTAATCACCTCATTTACTCCTCACAATACCCTGGAGAAGCAGTGCATTGTGTTACTACCATCCTCATGTCACAGGTGAGGAAACACACATTAGGTAACTTGGCCAAGATCCTATAGCAAGAAAGTAACAGAGTGACGCATATAAGTCTAGAGGCGTGACTTCAGTCCCTTTGTAGGTGTGCTGTGCTGCTGTTTCATAAATCCCAAAGCCCCCAAAAATGTCCTGTAGCTACAGTAGGTCCTGCCCCACCCTTTGCGTACCCAGCTTCTTCACTTCCCTTTTAATTACTGCACTACCCTAAAATTGCTACTGTTCTTCTTTCCCCAGTTAATCAGGCAAGAGCTAGATTTCATGCACCAACATATTTCCAATATGTAGCATAGAGCCTGGCATCTGGTAGGCACACAACAAATATTTATCAAGTGAGTAAGGTGTTCCTGATGTCAGAGCTCCCTTCTTGCTGACTAAAGACAAGTGAGACCTTAAATTCCCTCACAGAGTGAGGACTCACATTCTCCCAGCCTTGATGGGTTTTGCTAAGCCAGCCTAGATCCAAGCAAAGAGGGTTTACCTGGTAGACCAGCTGGCCTGACATGCTGTTTATGGTGCTTTGGCTGTTTTGCCTTACTTTATTTACTCTTACCTAAAACCAACAGCCATAGATGGTAGTCAACCAGTCTCAGTCCCTCCCTCCCTCCCTTTCTTTCCTCTCTGTCTCCTTCTCTCTCTCTCTCTCTCTCTCTCTCTCTCTCTCTCTCTCTCTGTCTCTGTCTCTCTGTCTCTGTCTCTCTCTCTCTTTGTCTCTCTCTCTCTCTGTCTCTCTCTCTCCCTCTCTCTCTGGCTAGTGAAAAAGGAACTTCAGTTTTTAATAGCATCCACAGTCACAGAAGACATGCCTGCCACCAACTTCTTTGTTTGCACTTAGAATTTTTCACCTACTTTTATAGAAATGGAATTATGCCCTTTATTGTTGTTAAGCTGTACTTAACCTTCCTATAATATAATATATAGTACCTGAATCTTGACATATAGTAATTCAAATTCAAATATCTTTTTTTTTTTTTAACCAAAGATCAAAGTCGGGACCTCGCACTTGCCAGGCAGGCACTTACAATGCTGAGCTAAATCCCTGACCCTCAAGTATCATTTTTAAAAGTTATTTTAAATATTTCCTAAAGGTCAAAGCATGTGTAAAATCCATGCCCAGGTTCTGCTCCCTTGCCTTACTTAGTCTGTTCTAGCACTGGGAATTTACTAAAAGAACTTTGAAACTTGGTACCATTTAGGAATTTGCAGTGAGATGTGGTCATAAATGCTGGTTACTATGTGTCTCTGTATCCTGAATCAGAGAGAGGGAAGGAGGCTAGTGAGGGAAATGGGCATAAGGATCTGAAGGAATGGAGCAGGAGCTAATGTGTGTACATTTTACAATCTGAAAATTATGGGTTTTAAAAACTGAGTTTTCAAAACCTGTTTGGGTAGTAGGTTTTAGATTTGGTTATGCTTTGCTCCAAAGCAAGCCCCTTTGGGTTACTGCAGTGTCAAATGTCACACATTCCAGGGAATAGAAGAGGCCAGGGAGTATCAGTGGACTTCGATTGTCAAAGACTTTACATCAGTCCCTTTCCGGAGTGCAGCTGTGACCACAGCCCTTCCTCTCATATTCACCCAGAAAGAGCAGATCAGTGGATTTCGAGAGAAGAGAGAAAAGCAATTTGTTCTTTCTGAACTATTGTCTGTTTAAAGTCTGGAGTCCTAAGATCATTTCTTCTAAAGCAGGAAAAACTAAAGAGAAATTACAAAATCAGTTTTAAGCCTGGGGGGAAGAAAAACCCTTTTGATCCATTCCTATCCTATTGCCACATTCCCTATAGCTGCCATGCTCTTCATCCGGAGGAGCATGAATTTTATGAGGACAATGAGTACCTTTCCAGCCTGCCGGCAGATGCAGACAGAACAGAAGACTTTGAATATGAGGTAAGACAGTTTCCACAGCTCTTCATGTGTCTTCCTGATGTTACGGCTGAGAAGTTTTGCAAAACAAGAGAATCCACTTGTCATTATAAAAAATATCTTGTCGATTGTATATCAGGAAAAGACCTTTTGTATAGTTATTGGTTTTAGCTATTTGTCTCTAGTATTTTTTTTTTTTTTGTCTCTTTTTTTCCTTTTTATCGATGCCGGGGATAGAACTCACGACTGCCTGCTTGCAAGGCAGGCGCTTATGCCTATGCCGCTGACCTAAATCCCCAGCCCCATTGTCTCTAGTATTTTTAATAAACTCAAAATGTTTTTGTAAGCTTGAAAATAATTTGCTCACATTTTTTGCTGCTTTTGATAGATTCTTTTGCAGTGGCCATGCTTTTCTTATTTAATATATGCCAATTTTTAGGCCTAGTCTGGAAAAGAAGTTATTTTTAAAACCAAGATCATGCTTACAGTTTTTCAATCATTGAACAATATGATGATTTCAATTGAGAAAGTACATTTTATTATATTAGTTACAGTCTTTAAATTCCATATTGTCTTTATTTGTGACTCAGGTAGGTACTGTAATGAGCAGTTTCACAGACATTTAGAAATCAAGAGGCCTCCTGTCCTTTGTTGTAAAGCTGTTTAGGTGTGACATGGTATAATTTTAAAGAGCTGATAGGGGAACATGCAACATTTCTAAGAGCCCATCTAATTATTCAGAAGCTTTCACAAAAGTTGGAGAATTTACCCTAATACTTCCCCACCTTGTACAGTCCACAGATCTTTGACATTCTACTCTGACATTTGGAAATAAAATAGATTGGGAAGGTAAGAAAGCTTTGGTAAATAAGCAGCCAACCCGTGATTATCTGCCCTTTTAATGTTTCAGATGATGCCATACAAGTTCAGCAAAGTGTTCTTTTCCATTTAAAACCAGGAAATCCTGAAATCTCTTCCCTTAGGAGGACCTGAAATCAAATAAGGCCAGTTCAGTGAAGCTCTCCCAAAGCAAATAGTCATTTATTTAAAATCTTCCCCATCCAAAAGTCATTGCTGATGGTTATAGAAATCACTATATTTTTTTATCACCAGAACTTGATAAGAGGTACAGTGACATCTTGTAGCTGTGTAGATGGTTTTATCATTATTGTCACTTGGGTTAATGTTTTAACATCTCATTAAGTGGATTGCAAAGTTCTGTTATATAAATCCACTCATTTTGGCATGCAATGAAATATCTACTAAGTTCTATCTATTCACACAAAATAAATTATAGAATTGAGACACATGCAAATTATTAGGGAGTAAACTATTTTTCTTTTGATTAATGAACAGTTTGTGTTCAGGGGCTGGAATTTTCTAGATCACTCCAGCATTTCCTTTAGTTTGTACCCTAGAGCTTTATTAGAATCAGTCTGTATTGCAGGTGAGGGGAGGGAAGGAGACTTACTAAGGTTAAATAGATTAACAGGAAAAATCCTTTGAATACTCAGCATATCATCAAAATATTATAATAAGGGCAGATTTCCTTATAATTCTGTAGGGCTTACTGTAAGTGAACCACATCCTCTTTTTTGATGTCAATTCTTAGTAGATTCCAAAATTCAGATGGCATGATAAATGCTAACACAGGCTCTCTGCAGCCTGTAATATCAACTAATCACAGCATCATAGTCATTAATTTGCTGTCAACTGTGAATTTTGTTGCCAAAGGCACCTTTCTGAATGATTGAAATAAAGAACATTCCTGTGGAAATTTAAATAAGGATTTGCAGTGACAGTTCTCCATCATAAGAAAGGATGCTTATCAGAATAGCAAAGTGACTAAAGGTAGGGTGGGGGGATGTGGGAAAAGGCCTCAAGCGTAACTTACAAATTTAAGAGAGAATAAGGAGCCTACCCACTCACCCTCAGTTTGGTACCATTTCCTAACACACAGTCAGCATGTGTCATTGCTTGCAGCTGCATGGGTCAGCCCCCTGCCATCACCAGAGGCTCTTGTGGACACTGCTGTAAGTGGGACAGTCTGAAAATGCTGATCATGCCTTTCTGTTTCACACAGTTTGTACTGCACTGCATGGAGACGTGGGCTGGTAGAGTGTTTCTGGGACGAGCTGAGATGAGTGAGCTTCTGTGGGAATGTCACTATAGCCTGTTAGTCCTGGGGGTGGGAGGATGAGCATCTGGGCAGTTTTATGTCACTTAGACAATGTTAGATAAAGCTAAGATTTAGTAGGCAGAGAGAGTTTAAGTTTAGAAAGAGGTTCTTTTTCTTCTGCTCCCCAAGTATACACACATACCAAGCTAGTAATCACGATGCAAAGATGGCAACTGTTTCATCCACTTTCATTCCTTGCACCATAAATGTTGAAAGAATATTTGAGAAGTTCCGGATACTTAATCTAAATATGGCTTGATAAACTTTTGCCTGAGGGAGCTTAACTTCTAGAGGACAGAAGCAGACAATGAACGAATGAAGCCCTACTCTACTAAATGGTGATAATGGCTAATGGAGGTCAGCAGGAGCCAGTAATGGGGAAGCAGAGGTACTGGTGTCAGGACAAGGTGTTGCTGTTCTTACAAATGGTGGGACATTTAGAGTGTGGATTATTGACCCAATAGACCAAAACAAATCCATCTTGTAAATGTATACTTAAAGACATTTTAATATGTAGATTATTGCATTGGTAAAGTGTAACCACTCCCTCAGAGCTGTGATGGGCCACAAATGCTTTTTTGAAGATATTATAGTCCATGTGTCAATGTTATGGTGACTCTGGTGTGTTACAGCCCTCTATGAAATTTTAATGACATCCATATCTCACCATGACCTATTGCCACTTTTCCTAAGAAAAATATTTGACTGGGCTTAAAATTTCCCCGTAGTGCTGCAGAAAAGTCTCAGAGGACTAGTCTACATTAAAAGACTCACAGCTTGAAATTTATTCTCTTTTAAAAATGATGGTACTTGTTCTCTAATTAAAAATGATGAATGGTTTTAATTTTATTTTTCAAAGAAAAAAATGAAAGCATCAAAATTTAAACAATGCACCCATCCTAAGAGTCAGAGTGCTCCTTGCCACCGGATATCAGTGAGGATTAAGCTTTTCTTTTTTATTTTCAACTTTGTTCATTTTTTTTCCTAGAGCCAGCAAAAGGTTGAAATAAATCATAAATAGCCCTTAGCAAGTCAGAGGCAGAGCTCAAATTCAAGCTGTACCAGAAATAATTTAAAGGGAAAGGCTTTGAGAAATATAGAGGTCTTTCGCCTGCTTCTAATGAAGACATGTTTGTTGCTGCCTACTTGCAAGGAGGAAGTTGAATTTTTTTGCAGCATTTGCCATGGGCTCTGAGAAGTCACTGCTGATGGAAGTTACAAGCCAATAAGTACAAAATTTTAATAGTATGAAGCATGTCATTAACCAAGACAAGGAAATAATTAAGCATCATTATGAATTTTCACATTTTCATTACTTATATAAGTGATGCTACTGGAATCATTTGTGTTTCTTCTTGATCAGTCTGAAGTCATATAAGTAATAGCTTGAATTATGTACCTTTTATGTATGTATTATCATAAAAATAGAAATCAAAAGAGTTTTAAAATTTGTTTGCACTGATATTAGAAGTGGCAAGGACAGGACAAGTGTATGCCAGAATCCGTGTACATATTAATCAAAAACCAATCACTTGGTCCAAAGTTAATAACTAAGTATGAGCATTTAGCATATTAATTAGCCTCCTCTTGGCAGTGTTTATGCAAAGCATAAACTAACCCTTGTGCTGTGGCTGAGAAGTGTGGTTCTGTAAAACGTATTTCGTGAAGCTGAAGATGCACAGAATTTCTGTGAGAATTAAAGTTTATAACTTCTTTCTTACATAGTTCAAGAATGGAGAATTATGAACTAGAAAGAGTTCCACTGAACACATACAAAAAAAAACAAGAAAAGACCAGTCATATATTTTTGAACAACTTCATGATTTGTGAAGTCAGCATAGAGAAAAAGCTCCCTAGCATGCATGTGTAGAGCCACAGGGATTTTTGGGGCTCTGAGGGGGTACACTTTTCTTCCCTGGTTATCATGGGGCCACATTACCTGTTTTGAGTGGGTTCTCAGTCAATATTTAATGAAGGAATAAATGAGGATTTTCATAGCTGTCCATATGGACCAATTTAATTCCTTCTCTCCTTTCTCTACAAGGCAATTGGAAAAGAACTCAGGGCTACCATGGGAGCCTGGTAAATACCCCTCCTTTTCCAGCAAGTGTTCTTTGAGTCAAAGACTTGAGTACTAGCTCTATTTTTAATTGCATGAACTCCTTCTAAAGAAGGAGCCAAAATGGAAAAATGTAGAGTGCAGTAAGTAATAAGCCAGAAAATTAATGGTCTCCATCAAAATTTAGTAGCTCTCACCATATAAAATCATAGAATTTCATACTTTATGCAAAGCTGATGTGTTTCCTAATACACCTTTCTTCATCTTGTATAGCATCTTCATCGAAGTGGTCTTTTAGCCTATGTGTGAAAGACTAAAATAAACAGGGAACTGACGGCCTGTGTAGACAGTGTGGATTGATGAGCTCTGATATCCACAGTGTTAGCCTATCAAAGGTTTTAAAAAACAAGAATGAAAGGAATAGGTTTGGATATGAAACATAATTGATTTATAATTGATTTATAGATTGTCTATTACTGTGGTTGATAGTAGAGAAAATAGGATGTAAAGTGTGGAAAGGTATAACATTCAGAAATTCCTAGTTCACTGAGTGCTTTGTCTTTCCTCAGTCTCTTTCTGCTTGTTAGTCACATTTTGCGATTATTAATAAAATATCTGAAATAATTTTAAACCACTCACTGCCAAGGTAATAAAATCATCCATTTAAAAAACCACCTTAATAAGTGTCATTCTTTTGGGAAATTTACTGAATTGAAAACCGAACTAGATGAAGTGTGAAAACATTTTTATGACTTGAACATTAAAGAAGAGATTCTTGTCAGTGTA